GTCGATCTTGTTGCGGCCCCCCCAAACTTTTCTTGTAAATCGTTTCGGGTTTTCTTTGTCGTTTTGGCTCGTGTGTATGCATGCAATGGATGCGAGCCCTTTTCGAGTTATATTTTCGGATTTTTTTTAGTGTTGTTCTGTGATGCCTGCTTAATTCAAATTTCGTCACTTTCTAGTATCCATCTGCATCGTGCAATAATCCCGGGCCTGATTGGAGACACTCACTATGAATGTTTGGGTTTAATCGTTAGCCTTTGATCGTCATCAGATCACCGAGAATGTTGGGATGTGTTGGCCCTCAATGCCAAGGCAATTGCGCCCCCCCTTTCCCCTTCTCTTTCCTTCCGTCACATGGATGGCATGGATGTGAATCATTGAATGTAATGATTGGATCTCACCCGAAATAGTATGGGTAGAACAGTTGCATGCAGGTAGGACACAATCAATACCCTGACACGAGAAACCCGAGTCTGATCCACTCTCGTTCATGTGCACGCTCGCGTACGACCACGATCTCGAGAAAACCGAGTTGCAGCGTACGTGCACGTCTGCATGAGTCGACCTCGATCCTGACTCACTATAAGGGATGTGGGAGACCGAGTTCAATAGTCGGATATGCCTGTAGAAACTCCTTTTTGGATCACCGATCGTGAGAGCCCGAGAGACCCAGAGTATCGCGAATACTGGGAGGGTGAACATCTCAGACGGCGGGGAAACTTCAGAAACGGTTTTCACTGGGCCATAACTAGCGATCCTAGGGGCCCAGACTATCTGAATACTAATAACACTCAATATTACATATCTCCGGGCTTCGTCATTATTAACACCAGTTCCCCTCCCTTCCATTTGAATTCCTCCTTCCATATCATCAGCTCACAGTGGTACCGCCGAATTCCATAGCTCGCGATTGGCTCCGCACATCGTGCGAAGAGTGTCAGCAGTACAAGGCGTATCGGGCTTCGGGATTTATTTGACGAACCCGAACCGAAGCCGAACGGCGATTACACATCTTCCACTTGAGGCCAGCCTCGTCGGATTTTGAAGCTTGTTACGACCGGCGCCGACAACTGTTCGAACAACGCGACAGCCATGGTGTCCCACCAGTCCACCAGATAAGGGACCGACCGCGGCAACGCAACTGGCAGAGACGATAGTCTCATCCCGAAAGAATGAAACGCCAGATACGATCTTCGCGTACCATCTTGCACCATTGTCTATTCACCGGAGATCTCAGTTCCGACCTGGGACTCCATCCCCACTTTCCTAAAATCCTTGGCACACCCCCTTTTCCCATTTCCAGGCCCCCATCCCACTCCGATTAGGAAGTCGCGCTGGGCGTGAGGTTGGGCGTCACAGCATCTCTCCTTCCCCCCCCCTCCTGACCTGGTGTACTTTTGTGTTCATCTGTCTTTCTTTGGGTGGCATAGGGTGGGAGTTGGTTAGATGTTCTCCTCCCTGTTGACTTCGAATGGATTGCTGATTGGAGTTGCTCTTTGCAACTTCAATCAAGGGGGGAGATAGGTCAGGGCTTCACCAGCCCGATCTGCTGTTGGTGCGTTTGAAGATTGCTTGCTGGGGGTGGATGACGATAAGTTTGTTGGCATGCAGAAAGTCAGAATTGAACATTTCTCGTTTTTCATGAACGGGAGGTCAATCCTTCCCTTCTGTAGGGAAGTAATCAATGCCTCTGTTCTGTTTAAAGATACAGGTTAGGTATGCATTTATATAGGATGGAGTGTATTGCTTCCTTGACATCTTATCATTGCATAACGAAGCTGGTTATGATTCCCAGCTTACACACATCACATTACACATGTGGGATTCTCCCCCTCGTCTGATAGATAGGTTTTCTTTGACATCTTAACTCATCATCGTATAGGGAAGCTGGTTTGCATTTCCAGCTCAACACGTCATACCCATCACATCAAGGTTAGGGTTTCTTCTTATTGATTAGATTGGTCTCGATGCCCCAGTTTGTTTTGGAGATACCGTTGATCAGATGGATAGGGTCATCCCATCATCTGACATACATTGTTTAAACGTGCATACGTAGATAATATGTCATACATATCACATCAAGGTTAGGGTATCGTCTGATTGATTAGATTGGTCTCGATGCCCTAGTTTGTTTTGGAGATACCGTTGATCAGATGGATAGGGTTCTCCCATCATCTGACATATATTGTTTAAACGTGCATACATAGGTAGGTGGAGTCATCAACACATCAACACGTCTCTGCATAGGGACGCTGGACCTGATTTCCAGCAGAAACATTCACATCATTGTACAGGGACGCTGGACCTGATTTCCAGCAGGTGCAGCTCCCGACCAATAGATGGAGCCTTCGACGCAGGGACCTACTTACCGGGGATGCTCTTATCACGGTGACCTCGTTAAGTAGGTTTCCCGTGCACGAAGTTAAAAAAAAAAAAAAAAAAAAAAAAAAAAAAARMACCGGTTGGAAATGCGCATTGTGGTATAAGGTTGCGGGTTCAGAACTCAATTGCAGCCTTGCGCATGGACACCGGCAGGGCATTAGATTGACGCCTGGCTGGACACACACTCCCTTGGGCTGACGCACGGTACTATTACAGACACTGCCTGCGCACCACCCAAGGGTTGTTCATGGTGTTGTATGTTGGTTCTGGGCTCCGCAGGGGTTGCTTGGGGGGTGTTGGTCTTGGGTGTTCTGGTGATCTCCCCAGTCTGGCATATCACACGTTCGTGCCATTTCTGACAGTTGTTCATACTGTAGAGTCATTCGATTACATGTTACAAGGTCACGGGTTCGAGCTTGGTTCGGACCTTGGGGGGGGTCCTTGTCCAGCTTGCCCCGTTCTCTCTTCGATATACACACATGATGCTGTCTGTACATCTCTATACAAAGATTCACAGAGCACACACAGCCTTCAGGCACACACATAACTTGCAAACTATACATTGCCTACGGGCTACATATACAAGTTTCCACACATGATGCTGTCTGTACATCTCGATACATAGATTCACGGAGCATACACAGCCTTCGGGTATACGCATAGCTTGCGAACTTCTGAGGCTCCGGATTTGAAACCGTTTTCGTAAGAACGTAAAAGTGCCGCGAAAGGTAGGCGTAGCGCACGGAACGTGAAAGAAAAACGCGACCCCATATGGCCTACTGCGGAACTTTTCCTAATGAAGCGGCACTATCTTGTGGCGCCTCAAGGATCCAACGGCCTGCAGATCAGGAAAAAGGAAAAGGAAGAAAAAAACAAGGGCTCCTTTTTTCACGCTGCAGGGTACCGGGTAGGCCTCTTTCAAAAATCGGTAGAACTACCGCCCCTGCAATCACGCTGGCGCCTCCACGTACGACAGTGTTTCCACTTCCCCGACATTCCTGGGCGGGATCCGATGTCCGTGGAAAGAAGTGGGATCCCAAATTTTGCCTAAAAGTGCCCTGCTTATAAGAAGTGGGATCTGCCCCTTAGCCCTAATGTGAACATGGGCCTCGTTGCACTACACATGTAACAAAACCAAACGAACCACAAAATCACGAATGGTCACGAACTCAAAAAACTCCTCTTTTGCTTCCGCCACCACACCATGCATGCTAAGGAGAAAAGAACACACCACACAGACATAAATGGACAATGCAAGCTAAAAGAACAAAAAACTTGAAAAACGAAAACGGACATAAATGGACAATGCAAGCTAGTCCCTACTATTATAATGCTGCTATTCCTAGTTCACAGGTCCCACTGGGAATGGTATGACCCCAGCCACAACAGTTACTGCTGCTGCAAGACCCGGGTCTGCAGCAACAACACGGGTCCCAACAGGACCAGATGCAGCAGCAGCAGCAGCAGATGCAGGAGGATCAGCTGCAGCAGCAGCTGCAGATGCAGGAAGACCAGATGCGTCAGTTGCTGCTGCAGCAGATGCAGGAAGACCAGTGCCAGCGGCAGCAGCAGCGGAAGCATGAAGACCAGATGCAGCAGGTTGGCTACTGACGCAGCAGGACCTCTCTCCACAGCGCCAGCAGCTGCAACAGCAGCACCTTCTGCTGCAAAAACAACACCAGCAGCTACAACAGGCTCAACAGCACCTGCAGCTCCATAAGCCGCACCAAAATTCGGGCCAGTTGCAAGAAGACCACACCCAAAACTGCCAGCAGCTGCAACCGCGACACCAAACACAACAGCAGGACCCGCTTTCCAGAAGGTGCTGCTTCCCACCAATAGATGGAGTCTCCCCGAGAGTACTAGCGGTGTCTGCCTAGTCAGTACCTCTAGCATTACCTTGGGTCTGTTTTCAAAAAAAAAAAAAAAAAAAMARCAARAAACCCCACAGCCAACAGGATACCAGCAGGTTCTTCAGCAAGACCAGAGCCAACACCACCTGCTGCTGCTGCTGCTGCAACAGCAACAGCAGATGCAGCCGCAAATCCACATACAAAAACAGCACAACCTTGAGCAACAGGCAGGGCAACAACTGTTATTGTCACAGCAATATCATCAGCTGCAATAGCAGCAACAGCAACAACAGCAACAACAGCAACAACAGCACCTTCAGCAACTTCACATGCTGTCAGAGCAGAACCAGTAACTACACCAATAACAACAATTGCGGTCCCAGCTACAGCAGCACCACTGGCAGCTGCAGCAACCCCAAGAACAGCGTCCAAAACAGCTAAGAGGGCAACAACAACTGCCACCCCATTGGCAAGACCTGATGCACCCTCGGCAACAGCCTGAGGGGCCCTTACCGCTGCCAGACTCTTCACAAGCACCCCTTGGGCCACCAACATCGGGCACAGATCCAGACAACCGCACACACAGCCTGGAGGAGGAAGCAACCATGGCAGGTCAAAAATGGAGTTGGACTTTCGAGCTAGGACAAAGACGGGAAAAGTGTCCGCTTCCCCGGCTTACACACCCTTGCTTCAACGATTGACAAAGAGATCAGGAGGTTGAAGAACCGAAGGAAGTTAAAGTAGGCCCCAGGCCCAGTCTCCGCAAATAAGAGAATCAAGTCTTTTTTTTTTTTTTTTTTTTTTTAACATCCAAGTG